ATTCCTGGTCTGTGTGACTTCTTATAGGGAATGGTTGGTGGCAGCTTAATTAGAGTGTGGTATACTCCAGTAGGTCTGGGGTTGTCACAGTTGGCTTCCAGAAGGATGGTTGGTAAAGCCCATTTCCTATATGTGCCAAAAACGACAAAACTGTAGAAGCAGGTAAGAGTAGATGATGGAAGTGTATCCTGTATGGGGGTGTCGCCAGGAACGGCAAAGTCCAAGTAACCGCCGGGCAACTTAGGGTGATCGGAAAGGTCTCATCGGAGAGTCTCAAGGCCTGAAAGGAGAAGATGAACTCTCAGGGTAATGAATTCTCAGATTAGGACAAGAAGTGATGTGACTTCCATTGCTAAAATGTGGGAAATATCAGTTCAAAGAAAGATCGGGTGTAACTCTTAACATTCCACTTCCTTCTGTTTTGGCTTGGCAGAGAGCCATCCGGGTCCGAAGCCATTCCATGGAAACCATGGTGGGAAGCCAGAAGAGACACCAGAGCGGAGGCATTCCTGGAAGTCTGAGTGGAGGGATTGTTCACAACAGTGTTGAAATCACAAAGACGACCTTCTCTGTAAGTACCGGAGGGGATCATTTTACACAAAGCCACCAATCGGCTGCCAGAAGTGTGTGCTCACCATGTTATTGTCCCGTGTATTTGTCCTTCTCCAAGGTTGTGGCTGATGTAAGTGGTCTCTGTTAGCTTGTGGCAATAACTGTCAATGAGTAGCACTGATTGGCTAGTATCCGTCACAAGCTCCTCTGACTGTGTTTTGATTCTGTTCTTGATGGTCTCTGTTAGCTTGTGGCAATAACTGGCAATGAGTAACACTGATTGGCTAGTATCTGTGCTGTCACAAGTTCCTCTGACTGTGTTTTGATTCTGTTCTTGATTATATTCCTTTCTACAAAAAAAAGAAGATACAAGCATTTGTTTTTCTTTTGAAAGGAACTATACAGTGTCAGTGCTTAGTTTCTTAAGCAACAAGGTGTGTTATTTCTCTGTGTGTGCACGAGTGCACCGCTATGTTCATGGGTATTAGACATTCTCAACACAATGGGAAAGCTGATTTGGAGGAATTGCATTCCTTTCCTATGCCAGATATTGGGAACAGACATTTCTACAGCTAAGCCTTGCGGAACACGATGGTTTGTTTCTATGAACGTGCAAGAAGCTTTGCAGACCAAGAATGAGGTGCAAGGCTCATGTTTCCGTCCTAACATGTTTAAAATGTAAACTAAAACATGTGGTATAAGCAGAAGAAGGGGTGGAATCAGGGGCATAGGAAGCAGTGAGTGGAAAAGTAGAGATTGGAAAAGTTTCATTTTGAACTACAGCTCCCAGGATGCATCAGCCAGCATGGCCAGTGGGTAGAGGATTCTGGGTGTTGTAGTTTAAAAATAAATAAATAAATGATTCACTCTGTGAAAGAAAGTGCACAGGTGGAACTATGAAGAAATTATATTGCAATGTTAAAGCTGTTTACTTGGGGCGAGATAAGCCAGTGAGAAAGCTGCATATCTGATCGCACTGGGAAGGGCCACTTGGCCAGCAGTGGTTTCGTTCCAAATGACTCTTCCGTCTGTTGGGGAATCACTCCTGCCTGGCCTGAAAAAGTAATAGCCCTTCTGCTGGACCAAAAAGGTCCAGCTTGGGCATGCGTTGAGGTTGAGCTGGAGCACTGTTGCCTGTATGGCACTGGATCACTGCACCATAAATGGTACAAAATTAGAGTTGTACTGTGTTTCCCTGAAAATAAGATGGGGTCTTATATTAATTTTTGCTCCAAAATTGCATTGGGGCTGATTTTTAGGGTGAGTTGGTTTTTTTCCCCATGTAGAACCATCTACATATATTTAAATACAGTCCTGTCATCATCTTCTGGTTGCTGCACAAGGGTGGAGAGCGGGGTTTCACTTAATTAGGGCTTATTTTTGGGGGTAGGGCTTATATGACAAGCATCCTGAAAAATCATACTAGGGCTTATTTTCTGGTTAGGTCTTATTTTCGGGAAAACAGGGTAAGTCCATGTGATCACACCCTTACTATTGGGAAAAACTGGTTAAAATTGGGTTCTTAAAATTTTGCTTTTAATTAGCAGAGTATGAGGCAGAAAAACAACAACACAGGAAGGCGGAGAGATCATCCCTGTCTCATCAAAACCACCCCACCCCTGCTTTGCCAGGAAGGCAGAGAGATCATCCCTGGCTCATCAAAACCACCCCACCCCTGCTTTGCATATAAAACTGGCACTTAGTATGGTAAAAATCACTTTAGAAGCACTGACACAGAAAAAAAATATTTTTACTTACAGTTGCCATCTGTAGTTATAGTCAGATAAAAAAGTATTTTTACTTACAGTTGCCATCAGTAGTTATAGTCAGAGGGAAAAGAGGGGCAAATGGAGTCTCCAACATGCAGGAGCTCTTGCATGCTTGCTGCCTGGGGGATGGTCAGAGAGAGAAGAGGGGGCTATTGAAAAAAACAAGGGAAGCAAAAACAATCAGGAAGAAGGAGGGAAAATAATGATACCAGTCAAGCTAGTGACAAGGAACAATCACATTAGGCTGTAAAGCCACAGTCCCACTGATAACTCATGTTAGTGCACGCAAGATTGTTATTACGTCAGCACTTACTTCCTCATTCATGGATGTCTCAGGGATTGTAGCTCTGGCTTTTATTGTAATCTTATACAGGAGGGAAAATCTTTCTTTCTGTGCTTGTCTGTCTTCTCAGCCTCCAGCAGCCATCGCAACGGCAAAAAATCAGTCGAGGAGCCCCATCAAGAGGCGATCCGGGTTATTCCCTCGTTTGCACACTGGATCGGAAAGCCAGGCCGAGCCCCGGACACGATGGTAATTTGTGTGGGCTCTGTGCTGGTGCCCATATGCGGGCACAGGGGGAGGCGCACATAAAAGTGGGGCGTGGTCAAGAGAAAATGATGACAAAGGACACTTGCCCCAAAAATCCTTTCTGCTTCAACCTCTCCAGACCAAAAACAGCTACTGTATGGACGAGGCTCCATCGGAGCTTTGACCGGCTGGCGTGGGGTGGGGCAGAACTCTGAATCTTGACTGATCGAATTCTTATCCGTCGGGTGGAAATGCTTCGAAAGCTTCTCCCTGCTGGGACAGATCACAAGAATTTTTGTGCCTTTAAAAATAGAACATGTTTAGAGATTGTTTTTTTAAAAAAAAAAATACGTACAGACTGGGATTTGTTCTAACTTTAAAGAAACGCACACACACACACAATTATAAAACAACATTTTGTCCCATTATCCACTGGTCTGGTGTTTATTTTATTAATGTTTGATAAAGCCAACAAAGAAAACTAGCCGGTCCACGCTTCTCTCCTCCTCCTCTCTGGCTGTTTGAACAGCCTCTGTCAGGAGCATGGGCTTCCCCACCCCACATCCTCGGCTGATCAGTCACTCAGACGAACCAACACGAACCTCCGAACTGAGGTTTGTGCCCATCTCTAGTTAGCAGACTTGGGATTTATTGGAGTAAATCTTTCTTCTCTAATTTCTTATGCATTTATTTTAAATTTCTTGCAGATCGCAATTGGCGCCCGGTTTGGCTGCCTTTTGGTTGGGAATTATTTCCTTGGTTATTTTGAGACTTTTTGCAATACGTTTACAAAAGTGTTTTTGTATGTGTGAATATCTTGTACTTTTGCAAAAAGAAAAAAGCTAGTAATGCTGCTGCTTACAACCGTTGATGGGTTTTTGCACACGGTGCCTTGAAGTGTCGAAGATAAGAAACTGTTATCAAGGCTGGAAAAATGTGTGGATATTTATTGCATTCTTAGACGGGGGTTGGATGGATGCTATGCCCTGGCTAGCTTCTGCAAGGTGGCATTAGCCATGCCTTTTGCTTCACAGTAATGTGCTTCAAAATTGATTGAAAAGGCTCCAAAAATTTCATACTTTTAGTACTGAAAAAAATGTCAAGGTGCCTTTCCCCCTATCATTATTTCACATCCGGTTGCAGGACTTCATTGGTTAAGTACACCCAGAAATCTGATTCGAGGACATGTTTTTCCTAATGCAGGCACTTGTAAATGCATTTTAATACTATGTGCTTCAAAAACATCTTGTCATTTTTCCCCCTGGTCTGCTTTCTTCCTAGTGACAGTAGCTCGGGAACACCAAAGACCCCTGATGGAGGCCATCCTTCCCAAGAAATGAAGGGGGAAGCCTCCTCGAACCCAAGCTCTCCAGAAATCTGCCCCAACAAAGAGAGGTGAGTGTAGAGCTAAGTTTGGAATCAGAGCCCTGAATTCAGAAGATCCTTGGCTGAAGGACACCGGAGTGGCGCCCATGCGGGCCTCCTCCGCATCTCAGCCTCTTCTGGAGCTGGGATGAGCCACGTTTGTGGGTCGGAAGGACCCGCCGTTCCTGGATCCGATCCCCTCTAAGGTCCGCTTGAAAAGGGGGAATGGCTGTGGAATGACATGTTCTAGCCCTTTGAAGCTTCTAAGGTCAGATGAATGGACAGTCTGGGGCTGCCTGCATCCACCGAGGACCCACATCGGGGACACACCCCCCCACAACCCCCATTTTCATTTTTGATCACGTCTCTTTGTCCCCCGTGGAGGAGACGTGGGGAAAATTTTCCATGTTTGGAAGGTGCCATCACACCTGTTCCCCCCCCCCCAATTATTTTCTTATAAGGAAAATGCTTTCAGAGGGACCGCTTGAGGACCTAAGGGGGCTCTGTGTGTGTGTGTGTGTGTGTGTGTGTAGGCGCCTTTCCAAGACCAAAAAGTTGGCTTCTGCAACCTTATTCCCCAGCCCCGTGGAGATAGTTCCTGATCATTTAGCAATTTTATACCCTTTCAGAGTGCCAGTTTTTTCCCCTAGGGTG